CCATAAGAGGTTCTAACCCACAGAGCTACACCTCTACTGCACTGCTCTTCATTTAAGTTATGAAAACAATCAAAACCTGGCAGCTGAAATTCAACAGGTACAATTTTCCCCCCGTGATTTTTAGGGAGTGTTTCTGTAATACAAATAATGTCTATACACTCGTTTGCGATCACAGCTAACAGTTCACTTTTCTTGTTCAAAACGGAATCCGAGTTCGTCTAATCTTTATTTCAATTGTTCAAAATCTCCAAGTGGTTCTTCGTTTTGGTTCATGCATAACGTTATGATTGCAAGTTTCATTGCGATCATGACGAAATCATTCATTTTCACTAAGTTCGACACAATTTATTTCAAAAAGTTGCATGACCTCGGAGATGTTTGTCATCAAAGTCCAATAAGTTGGTCCTATGGACCAACTTGCGATCTCCTTCAGTTGGTCCTTCGGACCAATTTCTAGAGTCTACCACAGCCGGTCGTGGTGATAATCATAATCACTAATATGTATCGTGGTGAGTCGGTCGTGGTGATAATCATAATCACTAATATGTATCGTGGTGATAGTCATAATCACTAATATGTGTCGTGATGAGTCGGTCGTGGTGATGATCATAATCACTAATATCTATCGTGGTGATAATCATAATCACTAATATGTGTCGTGGTGATAATCATAATCACTAATATGTGTCGTGGTGATAATCATAATCACTAATATGTGTCGTGGTGATAATTATAATCACTAATTGGTCACTGTTGTTCTTATTTTATTTGTAGCTTATAGTATGAAATAAGGCAACGATCATTTTGATCAGGTCACTGTTGTTCTTATTTTATTTGTAGTTTATAGTATGAAATAATGCAACGATCATTTTGATCAGGTCACTCTTGATTCGTTTTTTATTCGTAGTTTATTTGAAATAATCCAACGATAATGTGTTTGAAATTTTAGACATTTACGATGTTCGATTTATTTATTCTAATTTATTAGTCGTTTATTACCTCAGCCACGAGTATCCGTTTTGATCTTTTGATATTACTAGGTTTGTCATCATGATCAACACAATATAGTATTTAGTTGTTTGGTTTTAAAAGTTGAGACTGAATAATAATAAAATAGAAAAACTTTTTGATGTCAAAAGGTTATAACAATGGAAGTAAAACTGCATAACCTCCTCTGCCCGTTTATACATTCTTTTTCATCATAATGTTTTTTAATTACTGAGAAGCTAATTTTTCTCGAATTACTGTATCATAACCTTTAGTTTTATTTATGTTAATGTTTATTTTGCAGTTGACTTTGGTTCGGTCGACCAGCCTCACGGCCATATCGCTGGCCGCCATAGTGATGATGGTGATCTCCTTCATTTTCATCCCCAACCCTGTCTGCTCATTGTGGGTTGGCTTCTCAATCGTGTCCATTGAAACCGGAGTCATTGGCTACATGTCGCACTGGGGAGTTAATTTAGACCCTATCTCTATGATCCAGTTGATTATGTGTATTGGATTTAGCGTGGACTTCACTGCGCATATTTGTTACGCATATCTGTCAGCCCGAGTCGATACCCCCGAAGAAAGAGTGAGGGAGTGTCTGTACTCTCTTGGGCTTCCCGTAATGCAAGGAGCTTTGTCAACCTTACTCGGGGTGCTGACTCTAGTCATGGTTCCTTCCTACATCTTCATCACTTTCTTCAAGACAGTCTTCCTTGTTATTTTCCTGGGAGCTTTGCACGGACTCTTCCTAATTCCGGTATTTCTTTCTTTATTCGGGCCGGGATCATGCTCAAAACGGGTAAAAAACACCGATGAATCGACTGAAAGCTACGACATGGCTAAAGTTACCACAAATGGTAACAATCAAAACGGGGTTGCGCATCGCCGTTCAACGAAGCTTAATGAACCGCAAATTCCACCTCATCTCCAATTCGATGACGAGAAGCAGATCTATCCTCAAAATTCTGCTTCAACACAAAGATCGTCAACGAACGATAACGGTCGGAAAAGAGACACTCCAAAAAATGCAAATGGTCGGATAACTTCACCCAATACACTCGAAGAAATCAATCTTGGCGCAAGCAACAATCCTAGCTATAATAACGACGAGCAAGAAGAACAATCAGATGGCTGGGACAGTCACAGACGGTCTAAGAATCAACTACCGACATCGTCTCGAATGTAGCTGATAATGCAGTGAGCATACTTTTAGCGCCATATAACTCGTATTAGTAATTATGTAAATAATTTTTAAAGTGAGAGTGCTAATAACAAATGTACGAGAAATTTTGCGTGTTTTGTTTAGACAACCACAGTCTCGTCTAAGTCAACGACCTCTAAACGGCGAAACTTGTAAGAAGAATTACAGATTTATGGATTCTGCATGCTTACGTTTTCAAATGTTCACAATGTAGTACAGAATCCTATCTTATTTAGTTATATGTTTAAATTTTAATAAATATGAATCGTAGATTTTTCAATTATTTAGCCACTTTCTAAGGTCTATGTCTAATTTGTACATTTTCTTGGACTCGAGTATTTAACGGTTTGGCGATTATGGTGAAGTTTTAATTACTTTTGAAGTTAAATCGTTATTTTAATTGAAGCAAGACAGCTTCTTCTCTTCTGTTATTTTATACATGATATTTTATCGAAATGCAATGAGAGAAAAGCGAAATTTTTTAATCGAATTCCAATTGCTATTGTAATTCGTCCCATGCAATGTAAGGTTTGTGAGACGCTGCCGGCTCAGTTCAGTATATGTTCAATCCTAAAATGCCTTGCACCTTACGGACCAGGCAATAAGTCCAGCAGCTATCTCAATCAATTGTCAGTTATGGAAAGATCGGTTTCTAGTATAAAACTTTATGTGAAGTAACCTATTGATAAATTAAGTAATCACGATGTTTTGTGTGTTTTGGGACCGATGAGTAAAGATTTTTGTACTACTCATTTGGAATTCGCCGAATTCACGAAGGAGATCCATGAAAAGTCGTTTATGGTCGTTTATGCAACGATCTGGTTTTCATTATTTAATCGTAGGTCTTAGTCGATATCCTATCATACGTTATAAAATTATTACTTGATTTCATGAGCAATATTTCACCTAGTACATATCAATATTGTCGTTTTATTTCATTTCCTTCGGCGACAGGCGAAGTTGGACTATTCATCAAAGCTGCTGTTGCTATGTTATTCGATTTTAATGTTGCGCGAAAGTCCATAGTTTTATTGGAAACAATGATGCCTAAATTTATTTTTTGGCATCAGACCACAAGTAAAAAAGGATGACAATAGCCATGCAGGGTAACTATATCCCTGTCAGCCGTACAAGTATAGTTTGTAGGGTAATATTCCAATGTGTTGATCGATCACTTGAATGTTCACTATCTCCTATCAGACTGTCAACATGGCTTTATTGCCGGTAGATCCTGCACCACTAACTTATTGTCTACGTTGAATGATTGGACTCGCCTGCTGGACGAAAGGGAACCAGTGTATGCTGTATACCTCGACTTTACCGAGGCATTTGACAGTGTTCTGCGTAAGCGGCTGTTGCATGAAGTGAAGTTTCTAGGAATAAAGCGAAATGTACTACAATGGATCTGAGATTTTGTAATAGGTAGACTCATAACTAAGGGTCGGCATTAACGAAACCGTATCAGACTGGGCATCAGTGCGCAGTGGCGTGCCACAAGGAAGAGTACTCGGAAAATAATATAATAATAATAGCGGTGTCAGGTTTAGTAGGCCGTAGGCCTGTCACCGATTCTTAACATCACAGAACACTCACAGTATTTTGCGGTCTCGAACTCGCAACTCACTGCTACAATTCTACTGTGCTTAACCGCCCGGCTTCCTCGCCGATTCTGACCAGAAACTGGGGCACAGAGCTGGGATCGAACCCGCTCCTCTCTACTCCAATCTTGGTACTCTGAACTGTAACCACTTGGCCACCCTGTCTTATTCATTGCGTTTATAACAATCTGCCAGAAGCGTGTGCTCCAGGTATTAATGCGACACAAATGTTCTTAACATGGTTAAGGATGTGTCGAAACAAGTGAAGTTGCAAGATTGTCGCGATCGTCTGGTTGACTGGGCTGCGATGTGGCAGCTGTTTTAATATTGACAATAGTTAAGTACTTCACCTTAGTAAGAACAATGATAATTAAGCTTATGGTATGAGAAGACATCCTAGCACTGAAAGAGTGGTGATTGAGAAGACGACAATAGAAACAGATTTTTCGAGTTTATGTCGACACAAGGATTTGAAATTTTCTACACATGCAACGCTCATGTGAAACGCTAGTCAATAAAGCTAATTAACAGTTTGGACTGATCAGACGCTCTTACGTATACTTAGATGCATAATCGATAAAGCTGTACACACACAGAGTTTGGAAACGCCGTGTGGTCGTCGAAACTTGAAAATGACAAAAATTTAGTCGAGGGTGTTGAACGACTTGCAAAAAGTACGTATATCCAGTAATCTACAGAGACAGGTTAGCGACTGTTGCGCTTCCAAGTTTCTCTATACATTATTATACTATAATATAATATATACTATACTATACATACAGTACTATACTATACCATACAAGATACTATACCATACAAGATACATACAACCATGCACTATACTACTAAATAGATGTCATATTGTAGAACTCATTCATGGAATTTATTCTCTATTATATACTAATATTTTTTAACAGATCACACACGAGTGATCGAAGTTGAAAGAAATCGAGAAACTTAATAAGTTGTTTATAGCGGTCAATAAACTGAAACTATTCAAACAAATGAAAAGGAAACCATCTTTTAAAAAATGTTTTCAATCCTGTGGTATGACAACTTGAGAATTGTGTGTAAGTGGAAATAGCTGTGCGTTTGGCAACCAAAATATTTTAGTAGCAAGATGGCTTCTGATGTGAGTGGGTGTGCTGCTTCTAGGAGAGGGCATATTGCTGCTCTCTTTTGGTTTCTCTGCATTCAACTACAATTTTATAACTGTAAGTGTCCTTGCCCAAATTTTAAAATATATACTATGATATCTCTTAGTTTTATTTGATTGAAGTGCAACTTTTTGCTCATGTGTTTGAGAGCTATGGCGAGTTTATGGCGACGTATGACTTCGTAGGGTAGGAGTAAGTAAAGAACTGACCAAATTAACTGCGGAAGCTGGCCGTGCCTTAACTCTAAAGCTGCCTTTATAAGTTTTGGCTGTTAGTGAGGGCTATTTGAATGCGTGATGTTCTGTTGTTTCAATTTATTTTGCAGTTATGATCAACCTGAAATCCTGAATTAGTGGTTAATTATACCTAGCCAGAACAGCCTGCAGCCGAACTATCACTATCTGATACTTTTGAGTTTTGAACAGGCATGTTCAACTTCTTCAAGATAGAATTGTTAGGCAGAGATGCGTTATAACTATATTTTACCTGCTTGTGGAATATACTGAATTGGGTTTTAATTTTTTATTGGAGAATATACAAAATTGTAAGTAAGAGCTAAAGGGTAAACTGGTAAAGTAATATTGGGCAGAAGCCACCCACCCATGAATTGCCATTTGGCAAAAATGCCCTTGAATCTGGCCAGTTTCACCTGTTCATAATCATGGGGCGATTTTGGGGCCTTTACCAAATATCTACAGTAAAAATAAAAAATACCTATTTTCACCTTGATCACCTATGATTTTATGAAATTACTCCTGAAATAATTAATTATACCTTCAATTTAAGGAAACATGGTTGTCTGATATTCAAAAAAGAGTGAATTGGGCAAAACTCCCTATGTATAATCATGCCAATTTAACTTGTTCCAATGGCCTTTTCAAAATTTCTATCCTGAAGGAAAATATAAAACACTGCCTAATTCCACCTGAAATTATTAATAGGGTAAATGCAGTATATTCCAACACATTAAAGACGCATCAAGAAATGAAAAACTATAAAAAATTAACCGTATGCGTTACTCGAGTTCTGTTTCCTTTCTGTGACTCTCAAAACACTGCACTACGCGCCACGGCGCCAGCATAGTGGCAAACCAGTGATTTTTTAGAATCAGTTCATTTTTAATTTTCTCATTTACCAAAGATTTAACCCTTTACGCCCTGGCGTGACAAATTTGTCACACAGAAAAAAACATCAGTTTTCCAACAATTTCACGTTTTCTGTCATTTTTTCGAAAAATTCACAAGAATAAAAAAAGTCGTAGATTTATTTTTTACATATGTGTACCAAGTTTCAAAGTTATCTGTCGGTAAGTAACCAAAATAAAATTTCCAATTTCCAATGGCAATGTCCAATTTCTTATGGAAATTCTATTTCGGTTAATTACTGACAGATAACTTTGAAACTTGGTACACATATGTAAAAAATAAATCTAAGACTTTTTTGTTCCTGGGAATTTTTCCAAAAAAAGTGAAAGAAAACGTGAAATTCTTAGAAAACTGACAAAAAGGGGGTACTGTAGAAATCTATCACCTCCTATGATTTTTGAGCTACAACATCGAGACGCATATCATTCGATGCGTAAGGACCATATCTATCGATTGGTCCTTGCTGTTTTTCAAAATTCTAATTTTTGTGGGTGGGGTGGGCATTTTTAAAAAAAAAATTGGTTTTTCCCCCCTCCCTTTTGAATTTCCCATCCCCTTTTTCAAAATATTTTCAAAACTATAACGAAAATGAAAAAAAGCTTTGACCAATCTCTAGATATTTTATTTGCGAATCGAACGGTATATTACTCATTGCTGTAGCTTAAAAACTCTGGGAGGAGATAGGTTTGCAGTGACAATAAGTGTGAATGTTCAGTAGGGCGCGACAAAGTCCCAAGCCCCTTAAAATAGGCATTCAAGGTGACATAGATGCAAGACTAGACATTACTGGAGCCAAAATTCAGTCAAGGATGGTGGGAGCGACTGCATAAGAACCATCTTACACGACAGCAGCCGGGTAACTAAAGAGCAGCATCTTCAGGTTGTCTATTTATGTGCCCGACCAGTAATTTTCGCCCATATTAAATGTTAAAGAACTCCCCCACCCCTAACCCTTTCACGAACTGTCGTCAAGGCATAAATCAACGTACAGAGACAATTTTGGTACCGTTGGATAGGTCAGAGTGTCAGCTTTGAAGTGAGACTTAAAACAGAAAAAGTGAATTTTACGATTTTCATCCCAGAAATTCAGGGCGTAAAAGGGCCAATATTTTATATATGATGATGCTGGTATCCATGCGCGCCAGCAATGACGAAACGTCACAAAGTGTTGCCATATTTATTTAAAAGCCTTCAGAATGCAAACCTACCAAATCCCTATATTCCGATGCTGTGTATGACTAAATTCAGCACGTTGTGAGATGAATTCCGGCTGCGCTTCAAACTCTACTAATACATAATTCCGACATCCTTGTGTTCGAATTCTGATCGCTGTGTGAGCTGTATTGGAATACGACACGCCGGACACAGCTTTGAATTAGAACACTATTGAATATTGAACACTACTTAATTAGGCTTTCAATTAACAGCTATTAAGCTTTTAATTAAGAAAATTTTAATTTTTGCCCACAGCTTGGAACGAGCTGTGAGTGTCCAATTCAAGTTGTGTCTGAATTAGTTTTTATGTGTCTAAATCCATTTCTTAACACGTTGGCCGTGATTGCTGATTTGGCCCGAATGCCGTACGGGCGATAGGTTCAAACTTGTATATCTTCAGTTACCCGGCAGATAGCAAGGAGAAAAGTTGTGTGCAGCTCTGCAGGGGTATGTTCTGTCATTGTATTATGTAAAATTCGTGGCCGCATTTGGTGCACATCGCTCAGGGTTGAAATTCGTCATTATTCCTGGCGATGTGTACCAAATGAAGCCATGCCTGTTGTGGCTCATATTGGCTCACGCCGCCTATCGTAATCACTTCTAATAATGTGGGTGATGTGTACCAAGCAAAGACATGCATCTATAGCTCATATTGCCGAAGAAACGCCTAAAGTTATCACTTTTATTACTGTGAGTGATGCACGCAAGAAATCTACATTAGTTTTGAGTCATAATTGCACACATTATGACTACCGGTATCTCTTAGCTTTTTGTGAACGATGTATATTACGCATGGAAATTACTATGGAAAGAGATTGGCGTCCAGGTTTTCATAATCCTGAATAAAATTGAGGGTATTTACATTGTTAGTTCAGTTATATTTACCTTATAGAGATCATTCTAAATTATCGAGTGGGAAAGAGAACAGCCCACTTTCATTGAACCAACTAGAACTAAAGCCAGGATGCGCTGCCATGAATGCTACAACATACTCTCAGCAAATGAGGGAAGTGCCGTAGCAAAGGTGAAACTCAAAGGATAAAAAAATACATTGGTGACTGTGAAAGAAAGTCATACATGTGCGATAATTTTTTTCCAATCAGGTATGAAATATAATGATGTTGGCAACACCCAATTTTGTAGTTTCAGATCAATAAGAAAATATTTTATTTTCTTTTCATACAAAGATATATATATATATTGCTTTCATCAATGGACACAAATTTTGTAATTTTTGTATTACTTGCATTTGAAAATAAAACTATTTCTCTAAGCATTAGTTGACTTCAAAACATTCCCTAACATGCCTATTTAATTGCATCATTGAAATTTCAAATTTGAAAGAGTAATAAGATATTATAAAAATATGTATTTTTCATATGAATGTACCACATGTGTACACATCGCGATTCTGAGAAGTACAGCGTGTACATATATGGCGCACATCGCGGCCAATGTGTTAACTTAATCATCTATTAATTTATTTACCACTTGAAATCAGCAAATACAAGTATACTTATAAAGGATTCCTAATATATTTACAGATGTAGGTATTTAAAAGTCTCAAACCATAATATTCTTTCTACAAAAACAGTTTATCACTATTTGGTAGAGCAAGGTCAACTATCAACTTTTGACACATTTTTCGATTATCTCACTGGGTGGCATGCACTGTCTCTCTTTGGATTTCAACATTTTCCCGCCAGACGGCCCAAACCTAGTGTTTTGGCAATAGTTTGGCGCGCAAAGGTATGACGTCACTATTTCAACCATCAATGAATGCGTGGAACTAAGACAAAGCTTAATATAAAGGAAAAACTAGAGAGGTGTCGGAATTACCCACGATGTCGGAATATACCGCGTTTACCCTAATCACCTGGGAAATGATCTTTTTTACTTACAATTTTTAGAAACTTCTGCGCAATATTCCAGATTAGATTGCAGATCACTAAGCATATATATGAGTTTTATATAGAGATTTTTTCCAATCCATTGAATATAATAATTTGATGTACCTGTTCTATATCAATGCAAGGAAAGAAAATTCCACAGCATTACTTTAATTTTATGGGACCAAATTAAGTTTCACACTTTCAAATTTTCAATGAATTAGGAATCTTGTTGATCCTTCTAACAAGCGTTATTTAGTAATAATTAAATAGAATATAATTCGGCTAAGCTTGTCTTCATAATTCATTATAATCTTGTGACTCATGGCTTGCAAGCACTAGGAAGCTCTACTTGTAGCCTGGAAAGCAGATTTATAGCCCATGTCTGTGCCACTTGCAGCTTGGGAATTCATACTTACACCTGAACATTCTAACTCAGCTTCCATGTTAGTGCATTTTGGCTAATCTGCAATATTAGGAATTTTGCAAGAATTGCACATGAAAATTTAATTCTTAGGCGGCTTCTATATATATTTTCATTTTGGCATTAAGGTGGGTATGAATTCTTGTGGCACCTAATTCTTGCATTTTGGTTTGATTTTAAATGTTGCTCCTTGCATATGTCATTCAATGAAATTTTGAATTTCTGTGGTTTAGTTCCACTCTTTTGCCTAAATAATCATCATGCTGACAGGTGTAGAATATATCCACTGTCTGAGACACAACTAAAGCTCTCCTGCCATTTTTGGAATGGCAAGATTCCCATTGTATGAATTCTCTCTCATTTAATTCTAACAAAATTGCTCAA